ATCAGTCATCGATATCCGCTTCACAACACTGTTAGATGTTATTTATACATCATTATCAAATAGGATCATTTATACCAAGTTGTCAGATATACAACAATTTTTTTTATCGATGGGGAAAAATCTGACACGTGAACATAATTTTAATTCAAACTCGAATTCGATGAAACTATAGCAAAAAAATGAACAAAAGATAAAATTCCCCGTAAACTTCGGAAACAGTACAAGGAGAATAAGACTAGATGTTCCGGAAGGATAAACGTCTTCGGCTTCATCGACAACACCCGCCATGTAAAACTATAGCACCACCAGACATACAACGAATATCAAACACATACAGCTTCATATCGCACAAGAAAATAAAAAAAAACTATCCCAATGAGATCCCCATGATGACTGTAAAACTTCCCAATAATCTTCACCAACCTTCAACCCTCGAAACACAGATACACTCACGTGTAAGGTCGCAATAATTTACACCAGCATGATTATAGAGCTGACGTTGTTGTTTGATTATGGTTTGGTCCGTTCTGTATACCAAAGTCGTTTGTATCTAAATTTACAGGTTATGAAAAAGGTCCCATGTTGTGTGAAGATTACCCATCGTGTTTATGAATTTTTATTTGACACTCAGTAATGTGTCATGAATATAAATAGACATAATTAAATCCACGGAAAACTGTCCACACCCATCCGATAAACTGCTTGATACTTCCTATGTCATGTTTAAGTGTTAAATATGACCTAAGCTAACGTAAACCATAGTTCGGCATTGATTTTGTGAACGAAACATTTAAGTCCATGGGCCAATAAAAAGTTTTATCACTCAGACACAAATTCTACCTCTCTTAAAAAATATGTCTTCTCTTATCAGCCTGTGATCGTTTAACCTGACTCGCACTTTAACTTTTACATTAAGTCCAATATTAATATGTCGTTTTCGATTTTTTGCTGTAAAAAGAAACTTTCAGTCATTTAAAAAGATGTCGAGAATACTGTAAAGATTATCATATTCGTGGGTTTTTATCTTCCATTATTTTCATGGATAGATTAAAACTAAGAGAAACACATACATAAATAAAATAATAATGATTTTAGATTTTGAATGAAAATAAATTCTTTCGGTTAAGAAAAATCATTTGGTATAAATTGTTATTACATACTAAACGGTACACAATATTGCATCATTAACAGAATTACAGCTTATCCCGGTATGAGGTAATTTAAAAATGCATTTTTTGCGGTCATGAAATTATCTTATTATCATTATTTTATTTAAGACTAACCTACAAAATAGTGAAAATTAAAACCCCTGACAAATGGCAGCCTTGATGCTGTAATGATGATTTGATCACAGATAGAAATTCAATATTGATACAAAAAGTTATGAAGTTACATGTATATGTTGCTGAAGTAATCAGCCCTGATTCCAAAACAGTATATAGAGATAAGTTAATAAAACAACGTGACTACACATAAGAGGCATTCTTGTGGTAATTGATTGTGTATATACCGAACATCTTTTTATAGACATGTTTTACAGGTGACCAAAAAAAATGCAATTATATTGATCATCAACTCACCACAAGAAAAAGAATGGATAACGAGTGCCAACTGGTCCCACCATGTGAAGATCTTCCGATAGAAGTTTTGTTGTCTAATTAAAGTAGGTAATCCGCAGAGCCTAACGATCTAAGAAACACGGGCAGAAAAACAGGGAAGTTGTCAGGCTCCGGTCATTACGTCAAAAGTTGTTCGTCATTGCTATATTATCGTTATGGAGTTGTGGTACACAAAGTAACATTTCGCCGAAAGACATATTCTCTTATTGCATGAAATCTACATGACAATCATGTGCATTCACTAACGACTCGGGAAATGCCTCTTTATAAAACAACCGCAGGGAAAACATTCTCATAAGTTATACCTCTCAAATTATATACTGTCAACGACGAAAGACAGGACTAGAGAACTTGGTGTATCAGCAACTTTGGTTGAGATCATGGCTGTACGACTATCAGTGATTGATCTGTTAAGTGTTAGAAACGTCACCTTAGGTCCTGTATCCATTCAATTTCATATAGCTAATTTCACTGCTTTTAAAGACGTTTGAAAAATACATTACTGATAATGTAATGGATTTTGGCAATATACCAAAATCCATTTTACCTTGCAGCCATTGGTTATAGCTAAACATGTAACGAAGGTGTACAGCGTCAATATACACATGTTATCCTTATATCAATGTTATCCTTATATAGTAAGCACGAGAACCAATACTATTTAAAATTAATTACTTTAGATTAATCAATGCATCCGGTAATGTTTTCTTTTATAAAGAAATAAAAATAAAACATTAAAAAAACCACCTTACCTTTATTCACGGCAGTTTCAACACTATGACTGCAAATGTTTCTGTTTCACTGATTAAATAGCTACCCGTCAGGAAATAAATTTAATCGCTAGAAGGACCATTAAGGCGGGTTTGAGACAGATCTGGTACCTTTGTCTGCTTGAGGAGGCTGACAATACAACACGAAGCCATTCCCTTCACTAAATCAAACTCTCATCTACCGGAAGTTAGTGGTAGTTATAAATCAAGTAAGAATAAACATTCCCATGTTATTTAGAAGACACCGATTTCTATTTGTTTAGTCTCCTTTTAACAATCATGTAAGTTTCTATTCCCACTGCTCAAATCGAACCAATTAAAGCCGAATATCAACTCTTCCTAAGACAAAATTTATCCATAGCAATACCAACACAAAAGCTTAATACCAATTAAAGACAACCACTAAATTTAACCTTCTTCAAAAGTGAAATTTCAAATATCAATATTTAAGGTGTTCTAGAGATTTGGCGTGACTAAACAATGACATTAATGGTTATTGGGAGAATTAAAAGTCGTTTCAATAAGTATGTTTTTGTCTACAGCTTACGACAACGGATGCGCATGCTGTTAAAGAGACATCACGAATGATGAATGGCAGGTTCGGGCTTGGAATACGGTGTTTCCTACACCTCCTGGAAGAACGGTAAGTCATGATATTGATCAGTTTATCACTACCAAAAATTACGAGTGTGAAAACTGAGACCACACTATATAATAAAGTGTATACATTACAAGCTCCTTGCTTCAAATCAATTGTATTGGCTGTCATTACTTGTTATCCAATACGAAACGCGAAATACAAATGTTTACTATTTATAAGAGTTTCATCCGTTTAAAAACGCAACAGCTTTAATCTGGACGACGAAATTTATGTAAAAGTATGTCATAGCAGTATATATATGTCATGTATATCTTAATACCTCTGACAGTAGTTAAATGTCATGTGTTATATAAATACCTCTGACAGTAGGAAGATGTCATGTTTTATGTTAATACCTCTGACAGTAGGAATTTGTCATGTTTTATGTTAATACCTGTCAGTAGACATATGTCATGCTTTATGTTAATACCTCTGACAGTAGGTAGATGTCATGCTTTATGTTAATACCTCTGACAGTAGTTATATGTCATGTTTTATGTTAATACCTATTACAGTAGATATATGTCATGTTTAAGGCTTATACCTCACATCTGACCGGAGGTGTATGTCATGTTTTACACGTTTGATGATACCTCTGATAGCACTGAATATATTTGTATTTTGTTTTGAATATCTTTGACAGTAATGATGTGTAATGGTTCTGAAACTGAAGGCGTGCTGAAAATGAATCATTCACGTCTCGTTTAAAACCCTTCATGTGATACGACGTTTCGCAAGGTTGAGAAGTTGTGAGGCAGACAATGCGCTTATTCAGTAAAGGCTTCCGCGGAAATATGCTGTAGCTGTGGTGAAGTTGTCACTTTTAGTGTCATTTTAATTTTTTTTACAATATATCATGGTTTATCTTTCCAATGCTTCCTTAGCAAATACACATTTTTCTTTTAAACACTATAAGATAAGAGTCTTCAGTATTTAGCAAAGTTATGTGAATCGAGAATGTCTTAATTACGAAATGGTTTAAAATATAATCAGTGTATCTACGTACTAACCATGTATATGTGTAGACAGTATACTGTATTCAGCACTCTATCAGACCAATGTATCTACACTTCCTCAATAAACTGACCATCAGCGTTTTCATGTGACCCCCGTCAACAGAACAGTACACAACTGTATGTTAAATCAACAAGCAATCTGGTGGTGATGGGGCTCTCAGTTCTCGTTATGTTCATTAGGTGATGATACAGTAAATATATCTTTCACTTCTCTTTGATATCACTGCAATAAAAAAACACAACGATATCATAGATCCAGTCAAGATCACAAAAAACGGTCTAAAGTTTAAAATAGAACTTGTATGTCAAAATCACCAGCAAAGAAGTTTGTCTCAAATCTAGTCTATGATTAAGCATGTATGTCTGAATCAAATTAAGTCAACAGTACAACAAAGATATCTTAATCAAATTTAGCCAACGACAAAAAGATGTCTGAATCAAATCTAGTCAACAACACAACAAAGACGTCTTATAAGTCAGAACAAACACACAACAAATATATTTTAATTAAAGATAACAACACAACAAATTAATTTTTAATTTAGTAAAAAACATAATAAATATGCTTTTATCTTGTTAAAAATTACCAAAAGATTTATTAAATCTGGAAGATAAAGCAGCAAAAACCAACATAAAATTATTGAACCATACAACAAACATGTCTTACATCCGGTCAACAACATCATCAAAGTGTCTTCAATTTAATTAACAAAACAAAAACATGTCTTACATCTAGTCAGTAACTGTGCAAAGATGTAATACCTCTAGTCAAAAGTACAAGAAAGTTTAGTCATCAACACAACATAAGATAGTTGAATTTTAGTCAACAAGGAATGAAAATGTCTTAATATAACGACAAAGAAGTCTTAACTAACGTCAAGAATACAACAAAGATGTCTTAAATCATGATAACAAAAAACACAGACTTTTTAAAATAAAAACGCGAACAAAAGACAAGAGAGTTCCTGTTTATTGTAAGTAACGTGTTAATATACAAGCACGTGCCTTCGGCACAAGTTCCTAAATGGAAAAAGGAAGACGTTTTCAACAGGAAACAGATACCATCTATCACATGACATTAAACAACATTCATCTGAGTAAAACAATTACATTGTTTAGCCTTAAAGTAAAAAACAGCTAACACTTTTTCACTAGACCATTGCATATTTCACAGAGTAACTATGCTGTAATTTCATTGTAACATTTCAATATTTCGCCGCCAGACATGAAAAATGATGAAAATGTAGGACATAGCTTTATCGTATCGTTTACGGCTGTTTGTAGTCATCTGCAACACTTAGCGCTTGGGTACAGGGAAAGTAGCAAGCCAGAGTGCTGAATGGCTAACACACCGAAATATCATCCGTTATGATCAGGTGGTATTTGTTGTATCGTTAGGCTATTTTTTTACTTTGTAGTTAATTTTATACCGCTTTATTGTCTCTTCGTTTGTCGATATGAATACATTTTTCATTTAATTAGCGTCTAACGACATTAGTAACGGTATGTTTTCTTCTTACTATTGGATGTTAATTACTCTGGTAAACGATCGCTGTACGTTGTAGTATATTGTTCAATTAATCTATAAAATAATTAACTGGTCTGTGTCGAACGAGACCAGAGACCTACATGGACCATCTAGAAGTGACGGGTACCTGTCTGCTCATTTTCATTTCTCCTCATTTAAGCCATGTTTGTATTTTTTTTTAAATCTCTAACATTGATAATAGAGTATTCAGTATTCCTGCTTTCTTTGGGTTATCACTATACAACTATGTACTATCACTGAATGTCCACATTGAATGGACGTTCCATCGCTATGTATCTGCTCTTGTACAGATGAACGTGATACAGAATAGCCATTTTTCGACCATCACTATGTTGATTCGTACAGTTTCTTTGTCTTTTAATTAAGTTCAACTGTTACACATTGTATATTCGAGAACCTCTAGGAATTTCAATGCTCGCAACACATTAAGATCGAATATTTTTAGCATATTTCTATTATCTTAACGGGTTTTAAGTCCACTATTACGATCTTCCGGTCTTTCAGCGGACGATTTTTTTAGCAAAAAGGATACGATTTCAACATCAAGAACAGGAAATATAATGAATGGACTTGTTTGACATGAAGAGTGTTGAAGCATAAAGTGATACACATATGGGCACGCTTGAATTGGGAAAGGGTAAAATTGTGATATAGTTTGACACAATACAGTATAAGAGCTGGTTAGTAGTCGAATTAGTATTAATAAATTGTTGATACTATAATTATCAGCAAGATATACAGGTAAACAAATGTTCATATACATGTATAGATTTAGCATGTTGTGCATAACAAAGAAATGGAAATATAATACTGCTTTGTAAATTGCACCACGTGGATGGAAATTCCATAGTGTATCAATGGAAATCCCACAGAGTTCCAAGGGAAATCCCAGTGTACCAAGGGAAATCCCAGTGTACCAAGGGAAATCCCAAAGTGTACCAAGGGAAATCCCATAGTGTACCAAGGGAAATCATGTAGTGTATCAAAGGAAATCCCAAAGAGTTACAAGGGAAATCCCATAGTGAACCAATGGAAATCCCATAGAGTTCCAAGGGAAATCCCATAGAGTTCCAAGGGAAATCCCAGAGTGTAACAAGGGAGATCCCTTAATGAACCAATGGAAATCCCTTAATGAACCAAGGGAAATCCCTTACCAAAGGACATCCTAAAGCGTGCTTAGGGAAATCTTACAGTGTACCGAGGGGTACAGATAAACAGCAAACATGAGTATTACTAGGAATGGTTGTCGTTACGTTTAGATACATAGATATACATTTACAAGCTATTTATATAACAATATCAACAATAATGCTTTAATCACTGATTTACCTACTCGTGTGGCAGGGGAGGTATACTAACAATAGTGTACTCATTACAATGTAATAACATATATATTCAGAGTATATATATGTCATATATCATATCAAAAACAAATATACTGAATATCATATTTGGAAGACAACGCATCTGTTCTTTAATACAGGAATATAACACTCTTAATTCCCGTTGTTGTTACAACAACTACCATTTTAATCAGTCTGTGTTGCAACAACTACCGTTTAGATAAGTTTGTGTTACAATAACTGCTCTCTAGATTAGTCTGTGTTACAACAACCAACTTTTAAATTAGTCTGTGTTACAACAACTACCCTCTAAATTAGTCTGTGTTACAATAAATACGCTCTGTGATACAAATGCAGATGTACTGAATGCGTCACTGTAAAAATGTATGAAAATTGAAGACATTCGATCGATAGATCACACAAAAAAAAGAAAAAAAGAAAAAAAAACAGGTAATTCTGTGATCGTAAATTATACCTTTGAAAGACAATCGTCTGATTATGAGCTCTATATACATCTTTATTAAAGAGTTCCGCCGTTATAGGCATACAATATGTCCCTGTCAGATATCCACGTTAGGAGTGCTGCATTCTATTGATCCAAAGTTATACTTCGGTGTATTATGCCAACCTTTTCACTCATTCAATATGTAGTAAGACATCCGCCATGTTTCCTAGAGTCACACCTTACGCTGTTTGTTACTTTCAGTCGAGAAAGACTTCCGTAATTGATTTCGGAATCACGACCAATTTGTCATAAGTCTAATAGATATGTTTAAAAAAGTGACAGAGAAAAAATCACACGACCATAATTAGAATTTGCTGTGAACAGTTTTTAGTTATGTTAATAAGATTTCGGAATCTCCGGATGACAAAATATTCCCAAACTTCCAGGAAAGAGGTTTCATCATCTTTTCACTACTCTTAACTTATCGGAACGTTCTAAAATTGTTTTTGTATACAAATCTACTTTAGATTAAGACAACATAGACCAGAAATCTACTTAAGCCAAGTATTTACGAGTATTCTTCTGTGCGGTGCCTTTTCGTTTCTAGCTATTAGAATAGGTAAATAACTTTCCTCGTGCTGATTATCCAATCTACAAAATACAAAGGGAATATAGAGCTACAGCTCCGAGGGTGACTAGGGTGTTAACGGAAACAGCTGGGGCAGACGACTCAGTCGATAGTCGGAAATTGCGTGTTACAGTTGGTGAACCATTGCTTCTGGTGCTGGTCTTCCTCTGAGAGGTCGGGAATCGTGATCTCAGCGTCTGAATCTGAAACATATATACAACACATCGATATCACAAGTCCCAGCCGAATCAATAACAGGGTTCCCCTATCAGCAAATCTAGACACCATTGATCAAATGATGGTCCATGAACATATATGATAGTAATCGAAAAGAGAAGACAAGACGAAAGGTTATGAATAGGATATCGTATATAGAATTTAAGTCACTGAATGTCAATGATCAACTTTATATTTTTTTACATAATAAAAAATCCGGCCACATCGAAATGTTGAAGGCATAAATGCAAAATATCCCTAGTGAGAAGAAAATAACAATGAAAAGTGAGTGTAGACACAGATAACATCAGCACCATTACAAAACTAGTGACTACGTAATGTTTTTAAAGTATGAATGACCTGTCTAGACAATTTCTTTGGAATATCTAGTGACATAAAGCACAGGTTACCTCTATATAATAATGATAAATTCAAGGCGTGATTAATAAAAAGAAATTCTAGAAAATCACATTGAATGAATGTTTTGTCTCAGCGTTCAAATTGAAATAATACACAAAAATAACAAAATCTTTCTGATCTTGAAATATGAAAAATAACATTAGATTTGGAAACTAGATGTTGGTAACTTTTACAATGTACCAAAGAAACCGGTTGTAGTCGGGGCAAATATTGGAAAGTGGGATTTCCAAGTGTTAGGGAGAACCACAGCACCCTTGATTGACCACGTGATCAGTGATACGTTTATGCTAATATTAGATAAGACACAATATATAATATAGATAAAATAAAAATTGATTTATCCATCTAATTGATAAAACCCTCACGTCGAGCAAATAATCCATAATTTTAAACAACAATGTTCATGTTTCTGATGATCGATCCGATTGCTTGCTTAATATTTTGGCAGGACAGAGACCTAGTAAGGTCCTTTCTGATTATGAGGAATCATGATAACTGTTGATATATAAATATAAATAAGAAAAATAAACGTATAACGTTACATTAATTTAAAAGTTAAAGTTTATCTAATAAAATCATCCATTAACCATAAGATGACTTTTTCAAGCCAAACAACCTGGAACGAGTGGAAACGTGGACTAAAATGAGTATTTTTGGTGTTTAATTAATTGATGTAAAGTACTCTTAAGCATATTAAAGTCCTTTTACAAATAACGCGGGACAAACGTCGTTGTTCAGTTTTGACAGAAATTAACACCAAGACGGCACAATTGGTAAAATTTCATCTTTTTTTTAACCTTAATTCATGTACTTACTGCTGTGTTTGTATAGGTACTATTCGTTATGCATGGAATTCAGATAAAATGGGTTGTTCTAAGGAGTTAAATGTAAAGTTATATTACCTAATAATAATATTTCATACATTTAAAAATAAACTGATATTCAACATCGCCAATATCTTCAAGTAAGCCATAATGATAGTTTGATATTTTCTCATGTCAAGTGTTACAAATGAGACATTTACTACACTTCAAACGTTGCAGAATATTTGAGTTTCTTTATTTTCTTTATACCGCAGAAGAAAAAAAGGAAAAAATAATTAATGAAAAGGTAAGGATTCATCAACCACCTCCATTTCTCATGAATAAGTCACGTCTTCATCAAACACCTCCATTTCTCACGAATAAGTCAAGTCTTTATCAACCACCTCCATTTCTCATAAATAAGTCACGTCTTCATCAACCACTTCCATTTCTCATTCATAAGTCACGTCTTCATCAAACACCTCCATTTCTCATTCATAAGCCACGTCTTCATCAACCACCTCCATTTCTCATAAATAAGTCACGTCTTCATCAACTATCTCCATTTCTCGTAAGTCGCGTCGACATCGCATGATCGTCTCGGTACTTTTAACCGTAGTTTGATAGGGAAAATACATGTATCCATGTCATATGGAATTCGTAAAGCTCATTTAATTTTGAGACGATAACGCGTGCGACATATAGAATCATAGAACTCGATTGATTAATCCAATACTACATTGACACTCGTGTCGGATACCCTACAAATATTAATATCAACTGATATATGTAAATAGCATAGGCTTGGCTAGCATGGACGTCACTTTATAGAAATAGAACAAAACTCACACAAAATAGGGAAATCATGCGTTTCATACAGCATGATGAAAGTTTTGTTGTAGGGAAAGATCGAGGTAAGCGGATAGTGGACAAAGTCTGCCGTGTCCTTGATTTCCTTTATGGCGGTTATATACGATGGAAATAATCGATAATTTCTTGTTATTTAAAGATATTATAAAAATATCCAAACGCGAAATTCAAGGACTTGGTAAGGTTTCTTTTCCTGTGTGATAAATTGAGCTTTGAACTTGCAATAAAGCTCAGTGATAGTAATTGTCAGCCAGAGTTTCAGTTATTTACATGATTCAATGATCAGATAATATTTTGTCCATAAACATTTACATTATTCGCTGAATGAACAAGGCGTTCCTTTAGTTTGGAATGGGAAATAGTAGTTTAAATAGCAGAAAATCATATTATCTCTATTATCTAGAACCTAGCTCTGTACTTATAGTGTACAACTAGCTCTGTCGTTATAGTGTACAACTAGGTCTGTCGTTATAGTGTACAACTAGTTCTGTCGTTATAGTGTACAACTAGATCTGTCGTTATAGTGTACAACTAGGTCTGTCGTTATAGTGTACAACTAGCTCTGTCGTTATAGTGTACAACTAGTTCTGTCGTTATAGTGTACAACTAGCTCTGTCGTTATAGTGTACAACTAGATCTGTCGTTATAGTGTACAACTAGGTCTGTCGTTATAGTGTACAACTAGCTCTGTCGTTATAGTGTACAACTAGCCCTGTCGTTATAGTGTACAACTAGTTCTGTCGTTATAGTGTTCAAATACACGAAATATCGAATCCGTCAAAAAAAGCAACCTTTACAGAATATCTGTTTGTGATGCATGAGAGATCACAGGAAGTGTCACTACCAAACCAATTTACTTACTACAAGGTGGAGATATCAGGTTACGTAAATACAAGGGGGAGATATCTGGTTACGTAAATACAAGGGGGAGATATCAGGTTACGTAACTACAAGGGGGAGATATCAGGTTACGTAAATACAAGGGGGAGAAATCAAGTTACGTAACTACAAGGGGGAAATATCAGGTTACGTAACTACAAGGGGAGATATCAGGTTACGTAACTACAAGGGGGAGATATCAGGTTACGTAAATACAAGGGGAAGTAATCAGGTAACGTAAATACAAGGGGGAGATATCAGGTTACGTAAATACAAGGGGGAAATATCAGGTTACGTAACTACAAGGGGAGATATCAGGTTACGTAACTACAAGGGGGAGATATCAGGTTACGTAAATACAAGGGGAAGTAATCAGGTAACGTAAATACAAGGGGGAGATATCAGGTTATGTAAATACAAGGGGGATATATCAAGTTACGTAACTACAAGGGGGAGATATCAGGTTACGTAAATACAAGGGGAGATATCAGGTTACGTAAATACAAGGGGAGATATCAGGTTACGTAACTACAAGGGGGAGATATCAGGTTACGTAACTACAAGGGGGAGAATCAGGTTACGTAACTACAAGGGGAGATATCAGGTTACGTAACTACAAGGGGGAGATATCAGGTTACGTAACTACAAGGGGGAGATATCAGGTTACGTAACTACAAGGGGGAGATATCAGGTTACGTAACTATAAGGGGGAGATGTCAGGTTACGTAACTACAAGGGGAGACACCAGGTTACGTAACTACAAGGGGAAGTAATCAGGTAACGTAACTTAGTGAAGTCACAGACTCAAGATCAGCTTATATTTAATTCATATTAGAGTCACGAACAACAGCTACGCCCTTCTCTAACATGTAAGGACGATATGAATTCTCGTCGGGTAATGCATTATTGACGAGAAGTGACGGACGGCGTACCTGGTCCTTATGTATAAGCAGTCTGTCGTTTGAAATACTCCAGCTGACGTCACAAGATGGATGCATTGGTCCCAGCTTGCCATGATATTGGTAAAACTTCAGGAGGTACTGGGGGAATATATTCCTCAGTTTTACATTATCTGGAAATAAAACAGAATTTATTTTAGTAATCGTAGACAAACATCAGAACTATTGCTGTTGTGATATGTTTACTGTATTTTGTATTGTAAAATGAAAATAGCATACAGTGGTCCAAGGGAGACAACCGCTGAATAATATTACGCAAGAGACTAACCTACAAGCAGGTAGATATTCTTTCATAAAAGGCATAATATTAGTGACCCTAACATGGCTTGATATTCAAACAATACATTATATAATTCAAAACTTTAGCATGAGACATTGATGGCAAACTGAATATCCTTCTAATTTCTCACGAGACAATCACAATTTCAACCGATTTGGCGAAAAATGACACATTGGAGACCGGACTTATCAAAATAAACTAAACGTTCCTGAGACCTTCTATATGTTATTGATTGAAAAGATATATCGACCGCGACACAGGCAAAGTAGAAATAACGAGAGGTATTAGGGACCTTCCAGATATAGAAAGACAGTCAAAACCCTTCGAATTATTGAGAGATTGTCAGAACTTTCTATCGGATTATGGAGCGCTAATCAGAGACTTTCTGATTAAGGAGAGAAAATCAAAAAACCCTTCGAATTATGTAGATTTGTCAGAACCTTCTATCGGATTATGGAAAGATGGTCAGAGACTTCCGGATTATGGAGAGATTGCCAAAACCCTTCGAATTATGTAGATTTGTCAGAACCTTCTATCGGATTATGGAGAGATGGTCAGAGACTTCCGGATTATGGAGAGCTGGTCAGAGACTTCCGGATTAAGGAGAGAAAAACAAAATCCTTCGAATTATGTAGATTTGTCAGAACCTTCTATCAGATTATGGAGAGATGGTCAGAGACTTTCGGGTTGTGGAGATATGGTCAGAGACTTTCGGGTTGTGGAGAGATGGTCAGAGACTTTCGGGTTGTGGAGAGATGGTCAGAGACTTTCGGGTTGTGGAGAGATGGTCAGAGACTTTCGGGTTGTGGAGAGATGGTCAGAGACTTTCGGGTTGTGGAGAGATGGTCAGAGACTTCCGGATTATGGAGAGATGGTCAGAGACTTTCGGATTATGGAGAGATGGTCAGAGACTTCCGGATTATGGAGAGATGGTCAGAGACTTCCGGATTAAGGAAAGATGGTCAGAGACTTCCGGATTTTGGAGATATGGTCAGAGACTTCCGGATTATGGAGAGATGGTCAGAGACTTTCGGGTTGTGGAGAGCTGGTCAGAGACTTCCGGATTATGGAGAGATGGTCAGAGACTTCCGGATTATGGAGATATGGTCAGAGACTTCCGGATTATGGAGAGATGGTCAGAGACTTTCGGGTTGTGGAGAGCTGGTCAGAGACTTCCGGATTATGGAGAGATGGTCAGAGACTTCCGGATTATGGAGATATGGTCAGAGACTTCCGGATTATGGAGAGATGGTCAGAGACTTCCGGATTATGGAGATATGGTCAGAGACTTCCGGATTAAGGAAAGATGGTCAGAGACTTCCGGATTATGGAGAGATGGTCAGAGACTTTCGGGTTGTGGAGAGGTAGACAAACCCTTTGGATTATAGAGAGATACAGATTCTCGTATTACAGAGAGAACATTTCGGATTATATAGAGATAATGTGTTTCCTAATTTCACATATCTAGAAACAGTATTGTCATCACCTGGGAACTATTATCGCCCACATATTGCCTCCTTATCAGAAAACAAGGTACTTTGATGATGGTACATTGAGAGTCAGCTCAATGATGACATGTCAACTGTGTATACCTTTCGTTCTTTAATCGATTTTCTGTCCAAATTACACCTTCTTATTCACTCGCAAACATGTCATCGAATGAGCGTCCGTCGAGAAGAAACGTGATAACGAAAGATTCTAACTTGCGGAAAGGCGATTTAAAACAAATTTATCACAATGTTAAACCTTGATTCCGTCCATATATAGAAATTTTGTCACTAGCGGTGTTGTTTTATTTCTTCACAAACGACTTGAAATGGTCGTTAAAATTCACATCGAGACTTTAAAACCATGCTGATTTTGTGAAAGGTGCTATTTCGAGTCCCTTGTGATAATGTCAATGAACGTACAGTATTGTCAAGTACTTAAACCATACTTACTCTATCCGTATCTTACCACAAGTAACAAATACTCAAGTAAGGCTAAACACGTTAGCCTTAATTTGACACCATGATTTCCCAGTCATTCAGTATCATGAGTGACGTCATCTCATCCCCCACTTCCTAATTAGGATTTCAAGACTTCAAGTACTTTATATACTAGTAATAATATCCGTTAATTTATTTCCATCAAGACACACCTAACATATCTAATGGTAATAAATAGAATATTGTGGACATGAGTTCAAACTCTTTATTTCAGAACCTGACTTACGTAGGAATCCGGCGAGAAAAATAGAAACACAGATAGTACTGCTCAGGGCTTAGTACGGACACGCCTTTGTGATATAGGTAAGTTACCATGAAGACAATAAGTACAGAATCAAGAGGACTTTTCAGAATGACTTTCGTCAGTTTCTTCATTTTTTGGTATACTGGTTAAGGAACCATTACTTTTTCTCCGGCACCATCATGCACGTGCAATTTTTGCGGCATGTGTTTTATAAATACATCTCTGATCAAACCCAATTTTATCACTAAATGTTCGAGTAAATTAATTTTTAACAGCGGAGTAATTAAAATTTTATTTTTAAAAGTTACAGCAGTAGGGGATACGTACAGCACTTTAATTATCTACAAAAATAAACCCCACAAAATTTGTCTTAAAATTATTACAATTATCTATAAAACTCACGGGAAGATATTTCTCTTGACAAAAAAAATATTATAATAATGGGTACTGTGCCCTATGTATGATAACATGTTTTTGTCACTGGTGACTTTCTACGAAATATGAAAAAAATGGATTGAATCCACGAACTAAAAAAGTTGGTCATAAAACACTGTATCTTTCTCGGTGAAGTAAGTTGTGTCGAATGGTGACCAACTGATATCATTTCATACCATAAATAGGAAACTCCTTAAAGTTCAATTTTCTTCAATATCATATGACTTTTGAAAGTATTCTACGTGAAATGGAAATTTATATGAAATAATTTTCATTATGCGTGTTTCAACATAAGTATATTGCCGTTACACTGAGAGCTAAATATATTGTGTCGCGTTGTACAGATAGAGTACTCACACAAGATTTTATACCTTGATAATTCTGCAACAGGTAGTACTTGATAAATTGTACTATCACTATTGTTTAAGGGAACGGTAATAAAAACTCAGGTCAGTGTTTAATGTCTATTGTTTTACACTCAGTAAGTAATGATTGAGTAGTCTCCCTTCCTCTGTTCCGGACCGTTACATTGATGTTACACCAGTAATACTGTTTCAGAATTTCCTTAGATGCTTGTAAAACATCAACCTACACTTTATAAGTCCACTTTTCACTGTTTTATGGAGTTCATAAAAATTAGTTGATTGATGTAAAAGCGAAGTTTTAAATAACAGTCATCGCGCGTTACCTATATGTTGTACCACGGGACCGATACAGATCGAAGTCCGTGGTTGTAAACTCACGTGCATGTCAATTGAAATATATTTAACAACAAAAAATGTTAAAAATGAGAAAATTGTAACTAAGAAGTCTAAACACGTGTTTATAATTAAATGCATTACAACACGAATACCCGGTTCTTTAGTTTTCTATATATTCTAAGCATTCTCTTAAAACTGTATATTCTTCCGGGTCGATTATAACAAACGTTGTTTATCGTCTTTACAGAAATGTTATCTGACTCGGGGCATAGATTTGTTGGTATACTTCAAAAAGACCTTACAAAGGACACAAATTATATATTTCCATTCCACTATCAACTTCCTATTTAGTTCTATGTAAACACGCCCATCTTTCTGTGAACGGGTGGTAAACCACCGGAATTCACTTCCTAATGCCGTTGTAACGTCACGAACAAGCAAAACTTTGGAACCCGATTGGATAATCATTGGAGGCAAACTGAATGTGTTTATAACCATGAACTAGACAATAACACACTGATCCATATTCCGGATACTAATTCTTTAAACTCTGATCTGGATATATAGGCTTAATAAGCCTGCGTCCAGTATATTATCAATATTATTATTATTATTTGTTAAGCGTATGAATTCACATTCCGCATTCAGGAGACGGCCATCAAAAAGTATTCCTAATAGATATAAATGTTATGTTTATATTCTGTGTTGTATTCACCTTTGTGTCATTACTACCCTAAATTATAGTATATGAGACTGTGTGCTACAATATGCCTGATTATGTCGGTGTATGATTAAACAAAAATGGCCGCCCGTTATTTTCGGTATCAACATACATTGTACTGACATATCCGAAGTTGTTGGACTTAAATAAGAGGTCATCACAATAAAGTAACTTACAAAGCAATCAAATTATAACAGAACAAATTTATTTTCAAACATGTAAGTTTGCCACAAAATCGTTATTGTCACCATAACATACGTGATTACCGAGTTTGTCAACTTTGTCTGCAAGACGTCGATCTGACAGTCCACATATAGAATCCGTTACAAACAAAATGTCGTCACTTACTGACTGTAGTGACTACCATTTATAATTTCCATAGTGATTCTATAAGGAACATTGCATCAATCCACTCCAGGCACGACAACACAGTTAACACTGACACATCGTTCGTGAAATCTGACTTAAAGCCGCATCACTTTTTACTGGAATATCAATGCGCACCAAACTGCTTTTATTTCATACGAAAATTGTGACCATACGATTTTTATATAATTGTTATTTGTGATGACATGGGGATCTATATTACTACGGCTGTTTTCGGATTTGAACTTGTTGACGTCAGAAACGGATTATACAGGAAATTTAAATGACGTTTTCCTCGTTTTTTTTTAAATCCTAGATACACCTATTTGAAAATGACAATATCCACAATAAACCATTAACAGATGGTAAACAATTAATATGAAGATGATTCGAGATGAAGAAAAATTTCATGACGTCTTGTATCTATCTTCCAGCACGCTCACTGACTTCATATCAACTGTATATTCCAGTCGTAAAAGTTAATTATTTAAATGTTACAAGAGAAACAAAAGTACAAGATGAAGAAGTGTGGCCTCGTTATTTATCAATACACTAATACTACAGTTGCTGTATGCTGGAAGATAACCCAATCCCAATACAGACTCTCATCCAATTACATAGAAAATCTCTCCATCAATAGTCTCCTAACTAATGATATAGAAAATATCTTCATCAATACAGTCTCCTAACAAATTATATAGAATATCCTTCATCAATACAGTCTCCTAACAAATTATATAGAATATCCTTCATCAATACAGTCTCCTAAATTATATAATTATATAGTCTCCTAACAAATTATATAAAATCCTTCATCAATACAGTCTCCTAACTAATTATATAGAAAATCCTTCATCAATACAGTCTCCTATTATATAGAATATCCTTCATCAATACAGTCTCCTGACTAATTATATAATTATATAGTCTCCTAACTAATTATATAAATATCTTCATCAATACAGTCTCCTAACAAATTATATAGAATATCCTTCATCAATACAGTCTCCTAACAAATTATATAGAATATCCTTCATCAATACAGTCTCCTAACAAATTATATAGAAAATATCTTCATCAATACAGTCTCCTAACAAATTATATAGAATATCCTTCATCAATACAGTCTCCTCACAAATTATATAGAAAATCCTTCATCAATACAGTCTCCTAACAAATTATATGGAATATCCTTCATCAATACAGTCTCCTAACTAATTATATAGAATATCCTTCATCAATACAGTCTCCTGACAAATTATATAGAAAATCTCTTCATCAATACAGTCTCCTGACAAATTATATAGAAAATCTCTTCATCAATACAGTTCAAATTATATAGAAAACCCTTCATCAATACAGTCTCCTCACAAATTATATAGAATATCCTTCATCAATACAGTCTCCTGACTAATTATATAGAAAATATCTTCATCAATACAGTCTCCTAACTAATTATATAGAAAATATCTTCATCAATACAGTCTCCTAACAAATTATATAGAATATCCTTCATCAATAGTCTCCTGACTAATTATATAGAAAATATCTTCATCAATACAGTCTCCTAACAAATTATATAGAATATCCTTCATCAATACAGTCTCCTAACTAATGATATAGAAAATCCTTCATCAATACAGTCTCCTAACAAATTATATAGAAAATCCTTCCTTCATCAATACAGTCTCCTAACTAATTATATAGAAAATCCTTCATCAATACAGTCTCCTAACTAATTATATAGAAAATATCCTTCATCAATACAGTCTCCTAACAAATTATATAGAAAATATCTTCATCAATACAGTCTCCTAACAAATTATATAGAATATCCTTCATCAATACAGTCTCCTGACTAATTATATAGAATATCCTTCATCAATACAGTCTCCTAACAAATTATATAGAATATCCTTCATCAATAGTCTCCTAACTAATGATATATAAAATCCTTCATCAATACAGTCTCCTAACAAATTATATAGAATATCCTTCATCAATACAGTCTCCTAACAAATTATATAGAATATCCTTCATCAATACAGTCTCCTAACTAATTATATAGAAAATCCTTCATCAATACAGTCTCCTAACTAATTATATAGAAAATCCTTCATCAATACAGTCTCCTAACTAATTATATAGAAAATCCTTCATCAATACAGTCTCCTAACTAATCATATAGAAAACTCTTCATCAATACAGTCTCCTGACAAATTATATAGAAAATCCTTCATCAATACAGTCTCCTAACTAATTATATAGAATATCCTTCATCAATACAGTCTCCTCACAAATTATATAGAATATCCTTCATCAATACAATCTCCTAACTAATTATATAGAATATCCTTCATCAATACAGTCTCCTAACAAATTATATAGAAAACCCTTCATCAATACAGTCTCCTAACAAATTATGTAGAATATCCTTCATCAATACAGTCTCCTGACAAATTATATAGAAAATCTTCAAAATCTCTTCTAACTAATTATATAGAATAAAATCAGTCTTGACAAATTATATATAAAATCAATACAGTCTCCTAACAAATTATATAGAAAATCTCTTCATCGATACAGTCTCCTGACAAATTATATAGAAAATCTCTTCATCAAAACATTCTCCTCGCAAATTATACACATAACCATATTTCTCAAAATCAAAAGACAGATAGATTATGACATGATGTTTATAAATTGTCATTACAATAATACGTATATGTAGAACTTTGCATAGCAATATAGACGTTACACGTGGATCCGATGATAAACTTTACATTATGGTTTCAGGCGGAAAATGTAATGTGTTGTGTTAGATAAATGTATTCCTGTCCACAAGATTGTTAATATGACAATCACTGTTTTAATGTACAGGTTGTATTTTGGCGAGGTTGAAGAAAGACAAAATTTGCGAGCTTTTGGCGAGCGATATTTGTCTTTCTATCCCGAACCAAAACGAAGCTTCTATTTTAAGACACTGACTATTTATTCTATTTATCCTGCCACATTGATTGACGATCATACCATCAAAACTTCAACAATGTTGATGTTCAGTCTTTGTTTACCTGACGTGGACTTCATGCTGAATTTTGCCTGACAACGTACGTCAAAATAATTGTTCCGCGCGGAAATATAGTTCCAAACTTCAAACAATAAGGCAGCTATTTTAATAATTGTGATTTTTGTAAATGAATTTGTTCATTACAACATATGAAATAGCTATTTCAACAATTTTTTTATATTGTCAAACATTATTTAAGTAAAGTCAGAAAGTAATTCTGTTGTACTAACGCACGTGCTAAAATGCAGCTGTTACCATCACTACGAATATAGCGACAATGGCAGTACCAGTTGCAGGATAAGTAGAGAATATTGCCAAAGGTTTGGAACTTTTGTATTTCTTCATCCTCACCAAAATACGGCATATATTTGAAGACACTGACCATGCATTCTATTTATCCTGCAACATTGACTGCAAATCAGATCATTAAAACTTCAACAGTTTCTTGTTCAATCTTTGTTTACACGACACTGATGTTACGCTGAATTTTGCCTGATAACGTTCGCCAAATTAATTGTTCCGTGCAGAAATATAGTTCCCAACTTCAACGGATATGACAGCGATTTTATGAATTTTCGTAAATTAACTTGTTCATTACAACAAATAAAATAATTTATTTTCAATAGTTATTTATCTTGTTCAAAAAATTTTTAAGTAAATTCATAAATTGATTCCGCAAATTCACGCACGTGCTAAAAATACAGCTGTTTTCCATCACTCCCGAACACAGCAAAAATATACGTGGCAGACGTATTCTGACAATGGCGGTGCCAGTTGTAGGGTAAATAAATACATGTAGTTTTCTTTTACAAAAATAGGATCCAGAATATACATTTATTAACTATATTGATTTCATGAAATGTATAAACACGATGTTTTACAGGGAGACATTATTACATCTAAACTTATCGTTAAGTGTAATTATTAATTAATTCGATAGTATTTACCTGTCCTTTCACCTGCCTTGAAGAGTTCTTCGAACGTTGGAACCAGCTCAGAATTTTGACTCGTCTAAAAGATATAATGTAACGAGATGTGTTAAAATTCTGATATAAACACATACAGTTCAAATACCTCTGTTATTCAGTCTATAAAACTACAATTTAAAACAATTTTTCACAAATCTTCTGTAAAAGTTGTTAAGTATTGTTAATAACTAGTATGAATACCTCGGTAATTACAGACACGGTACAACAGGGTAAACAAACAACGTTGTAACTTAAAGATCAGAACGTGATATTTCGCGCTATAATTTTAAAAGCAACAAAATCATAGCGTGATGAAATCATGAATAACTGGACAGATACATGTCAGGAATCAGAACAAATAGAATTATTAAAGAAAAGGACGAATGATAAGATAAAGACAGATTATCTATTATACCTTACCATAGTGTCCTGGACCCAGAATGACAAGGCAGACAGTCCGTCTTTCTGACCTGTAGCCTCCGTTCGGTTTGCATACTTTGTATTGTAGCTTAGGAAATATATATATAACAATGATAAATATATATATAACAATGTATATATACTATGATAAATATATACATATGATAAATATATATATAACAATGATAAATATATATATAAATATATATATAACAATGATAAATATATATAATATATATATAACAATGATAATATATATACAATGATAAATATATAACAATGATAAATATATATATAAATATATATACATAACAATGATATATATATATATATAACAATGATAAATATATATATACAATGATAAATATATATATAACAATGATAAATATATACATAACAATGATAAATATATATATAACAATGATAAATATATGATAAATATATATATAACAATGATAAATATATACATAACAATGATAAATATATACATAACAATGATAAATATATATATACATAACAATGATAAATATATATATAACAATGATAAATATATATACATAACAATGATAAATATATATATATTACATATATAATTGATAACTATGTCCTGATGTTATTGAAGGGGGAGGGGTGTTAGCGATTTCATAAAAAGTAAATGATTTTAAGCATACTAATTTTCTAATTCAATAGCAAGAACAAATATACATGGATTTTAATGTAATCGCACTAAAGAATATACGATCGTTGTAAAAGTGCATTAATATTGAGATAATGGGACAGAGCACAGATATTAAATCTTAACGATAGTTTTTGGAATGTATAACCAATTATATGAAGCTCAAGTTTCGTAAGATATGATATATATATATCTTCGTTTAAAAAATTGGAAGTACAAATTCTACTTTGTCAGAAATCGTGTTTCCTCTTAATATTTCCTCCAAGATATACCTGCATAACGAACTGTCTCTTATTGTACAGATGGATGGTCGAGTTGTCCATTAGCATAGTGATTTGGACAGCTTTGTATCTATTAGTAAGGCCACCTCCAGTCACGTACAGCTCGCCCTCCAGATCCATGGCGTCTAGAGCAGATTATCATCAATACAATAACTATCATGGTATCTATCGGGATAAATTAATGGACGAATAAATATGTTGTATATTGAAACTGTTATGATGTGATTAAAGTAAACATCGATCTTATCACTTGTATAATAGGATAACACGACCAATTGATGTGATGTTTTACCAGGAAACGAATTCAACAGAAATTGTTTTAAATTTACGATAACATTATCACAACGTCGTCTGGAAACATAAATTAAATGTGTAGTTATAGGCGTTAAACAATTAGAAACACGAAAAGACTCACATGACAACACGATAAGTCTTTAATCAAACAGGTGATGTATTGTTAACAAGCTAAATTCTTTCTCATATTAAGGTTGACACACCGCAGAGAGGCGAGACCTAATATGATTTATAACAATGATATCTGGAGGATACAGCGTGCACCCCTGACACCGAAATTAACAACGTTTATTCCGTAATTGTCTCAACTTACAACTTGTTTAGGAAACTTTATCTACGTACTGTTTAAATTATCCTTGTTATATAAGAAAAGTCATCAAAATGTAGATATCGTCCAAAAATACGATATTCTAGATCTTACATCCTTCTGATGTTTTTCGTAGAACAACGGTGGCATCGTCGAATCCTTCCAGTTTGAAGGACGTTGCTGCCTTATACTTTAGTGACGACCCTTCCGGTATGTTGACAGGGTAGTCCGTACTGCACGTGCCCTCAACTGTACAATGAACAAACACAAGTTGAAAATTGAAGAGATAAAATTTGAATTAAAAATATTCTAGCAATAGGATTGGGCACAAGTTTTACAACTTATATAAATCCCTTTTCAAACATGTTATTACACACACATTATATTTACAAGGTGGCAGTAGTATATGATAACAAGGAGAGATTATTCTTTAAAAGGCAAATATTACAGTAAAAATCTAATATATGTTCCTTGCGAGATGATTGATTTGATTCCATTTTGACAAACACTAGAACTGGTGTAACATGTACTACATACAGTAAAAGGGGAATAACATCGAAGAGACAATGAGACAGATAACAAAATAATAAGGGGGGTGGGGGTGGGGGGGGGGGGGGGGGTGGGGAGAGGGGAGGGGGCATTGGCAAATAGTTTAATGGCTTTCAGAATTCTTCTTGTAAGATGATGATCTTGCCCTTTTTTTAATAATGTTAACCAAGGTTAGTTCATTTTCAAAAAGTTTAAACTGATTTTGTTTGGTTGTAGCCGCCTGTATATTTTGTCTATATATCTCCTCCTCTATAACCCAGTCGTTACGTGTGATACATCCTTGTTACCAGTTGTCTCCCCCTACTATCCTCTATATTGATATCTATATATCTACTCCTCTATAACCCAGTCGTTACGTGTGATACATCCTTGTTACCAGTTGTCTCCCCCTGTATATTTTGTCCGTCTACTATCGTCTATATTGATATCTATACATATCCTCTATAACCCAGTCGTTACGTGTGATACATCCTTGTTACCAGTTGTCTCCCCCTGTATATTTTGTCCGTCTACTATCGTCTATATTGATATCTATACATATCCTCTATAACCCAGTCGTTACGTGTGATACATCCTTGTTACCAGTTGTCTCCCCCTGTATATTTTGTCCGTCTACTATCCTCTATATTGATATCTATATATATATAACCCAGTCGTTACGTGTGATACATCCTTGTTACCAGTTGTCTCCCCCTGTATATTTTGTCCGTCTACTATCGTCTATATTGATATCTATACATATCCTCTATAACCCAGTCGTTACGTGTGATACATCCTTGTTACCAGTTGTCTCCCCCTGTATATTTTGTCCGTCTACTATCCTCTATATTGATATCTATATATCTACTCCTCTATAACCCAGTCGTTACGTGTGATACATCCTTGTTACCAGTTGTCTCCCCCTGTATATTTTGTCCGTCTACTATCCTCTATATTGATATCTATACATATCCTCTATAACCCAGTCGTTACGTGTGATACATCCTTGTTACCAGTTGTCTCCCCCTGTATATTTTGTCCGTCTACTATCCTCTATATTGATATCTATATATATCCTCTATAACCCAGTCGTTACGTGTGATACATTCTTGTCATCAGTTGTCTCCCCCTGTATATTTTGTCCGTCTACTATCCTCTATATTGATATCTATATATATCCTCTATAACCCTGTCGTTACGTGTGATACATCCTTGTTACCAGTTGACTTCCCCTGTGTATTCTGAACTGTGCTGCTCTCTTTCCGTATATTGATCTTTTGTAGTTGCTGTCTGGTTTCAGTGGTGATGGAGCACACATCTTTCGGTATATTGTAAGCTGTTGTGTACAGTTTTGCCAATAGTTGCCAGACATATCTGTAATATTCCGGTATTGTTCGGAACATTTCGGCACACAGTGTATTTTAATATCTAAACATTCTGTTTGCTGAAATATATTAGCATGTTTTACTGAAAGTCTAGGCGAGATAAGAAAAAAAAACATCGTTCCTATCTTAATTTTCATAGAACTTAACATCTTAGAACATCATATTGATTGTTTCATTCATTTAGCTATGGACGATACAGATAAGTTCTCCTGACAGCGGAAAACGAAAGTAGAATTGATATGTACAAGTCGTTTAAAAATTGTATTATCATTTTTCAAATGTTTCATATAGACAGACTATTTATATAATAAACAGTTGATTTATTTCAAAATTCTCAAATAATGCAGAAAGTTATTTACAATAGCCTTCTCAGTGTTGTTGGAATGACTGACACAATTGTATAATGGGTATACAATGTAACAGAGTGAGGTGTCATTATACTTGTCCGGGTTATGACATTATAGTCCGTAGTCAGTATAATGTAACAGAGTGAGGTGTCATTATACTTGTCCGGGTTATGGCATTTTAGTCCGTAGTCAGTATAACGTAACAGGGTGAGGTATAATGGTAAGTGTCTGGTTTTGACATTTTAGTCCGTAGTCGGTATGATGTTACAGGGTGAGGTGTCATGCTACGTGTCTGAGATGACATTATAGTCCGTAGTCAGTATAATGTAATAGGGTGAGGTGTCATGCTACGTGTCTGGTTATGACATTTTAGTCGGTAGTCAGTATAATGTTACAGGGTGAGGTGTCATGCTACGTGTCTGGGATGACATTATAGTCCGTAGTCAGTATAATGTAACAGGGTGAGGTGTCATGCTACGTGTCCGGGTTATGACATTTTAGTCCGTAGTCAGTATAATGTAACAGGGTGAGGTGTCATGCTATGTGTCTGGTTATGACATTTTAGTCCGTAGTCAGTATAATGTTACAGGGTGAGGTGTCATGCTACGTGTCTGGGATGACATTATAGTCCGTAGTCAGTATAATGTTACAGGGTGAGGTGTCTATGATGACATTATAGTCCGTAGTCAGTATGTTACAGGGTGAGGTGATGCTACATTATAGTCCGTAGTCAGTATAATGTTACAGGGTGAGGTGTCATGCTACGTGTCTGGTTATGACATTTTAGTCCGTAGTCAGTATAATGTTACAGGGTGAGGTGTCATGCTACGTGTCTGGGATGACATTATAGTCCGTAGTCAGTATAATGTAACAGGGTGAGGTGTCATGCTACGTGTCTGGTTATGACATTTTAGTCCATAGTCAGTATAATGTAACATGGTGAGGTGTCATGGTACTTGTCCGGGTTATGACAATTCAGTATGATGACGCTATAAAAGGGCTAATCAGTGACTTGGCTCGACATTGTACCGACTCTGTATGACTAAAGCTGTTTCAAGTGTATAAACACATAACAACATTTTGTACACAGCTGTACCAGGAATAATTACATGTAAAGTTTGATTACTCCACTAATATCTGTAATGATATGCTATAGAGAAAGATATTCTGGATATAGAGCAAGGTGTTTGTGTATTTATATACAAACCAATAGTTCTGCTGCATTAATTGATTTTCTCAATTATCCCAAATACATGTCCACCTAAACTTGATAAACGTGCTCATGTGTTGATTTATCAATAGATACTCAAACGTGACATGTTAATCATGGGATTTTTTTAAGTAATCATACATTTCGTAAGTATCTGTTATATTAGCAGAAAAATTTCTTCAAACAGAATCAAAGATATCAATGTAAGGAACATATCAGATGATTAAAATATTACAACAGATTTTAAATAAATTTCAAAATTTGATATTTCGTTCCTGATATATTATAAATTAATTCCCTAAAATCCTGGACTGGGTTATGGGACCATGGCCGAGATCGGGTACGGCGTACAGCATATTCTACGAAGTACGAGGCACCATCCTATCGTAGATCATTCTGTGTGGACACGGTCATTGGTGCCGTATACCACCCACAAGCGGTTTCGGCATATCTATTGAGGTATCCATTAGAGGCGGGGGTGGAGGGTGGGGGATGGGGGACGTTTGATTAAAGCTGTTACAAGTGTACAGGACAGAGAAATCTCTACCTAGCCAATTCCGAATTTGTCGGACCAAAGCTTGGGCAATATCCGGCCAATCTCCTTCATCGAACATTCATTAAAAAGATAATTAAATAGGTAACAATATATGTGTTACTAACATCTAGCTCCTTAGAATATAGAAAAACAAAATAAGGTAAAAAAAAAATGGGAATGCGTGCCAAGTCCCTGTACTCATAACGAAATAAGTACGTAACGTTTGCCACTACAAGGCAACTTTCCGACATTGGTATTTAAGCATTAATGATTGATTAAATTTTGTCGGCTATGAAAGGTTACACAATTCAAATATCGCGAGTGTAGTGTGCTACGACCAAACCTTCAGGAAAACTAATTTGAGTACAGGATAGTAACACATAACGCCGAGCCCAAGTAGTGTTTCAGTTCCATCGATCGGAAGTCGAGACAGAGCGAAATGATTTACAGGGACAACGCTTCTTCTGAAGCACGGCTTATTTGGTCTCACTATGAAAAGCAACTTTTTGTGAAGAGTGACGCGCTGTACATTAACCTTTATTGAACAAGTTCCATCTGTATATGACTCCCATGGTTACAGCGATACCGGAGATTGTTACCATGGCATCGGGTGTAAAACACAGTCAATATGCAATGTTTTAGACCTCCCCTCATGTATATTTGATATTTTATTAACTATTACACAATTATTAACATCCACAGAGGTCGATATAGTGGCCATATTATCACGGAGAAGATTATTATCCACGAGACAGAAGCAGTGGGAAATATTACTTTAATGCCTGACAAAAGACTCAAGATACCTAACAGTAATAATTTATGCGTCAACTGAAGATGATGGGCTTGTTAATTGTTATCCAAAAATATTTCATTGGGAAGTGAATCTCGTTTTTAACGGAAAATAAAAAACTAAAATTTCAATGGAAAATGAAAATTTCAAATTTTCAAAAACATATTTAGAAAATGAATCCTTTCAAAAGAAAAAAGAAAAAAAAATAACAAATATGTCAACAAAATTATAATCCAAACTCAATTTCAATAAAAATAGGGCAAAATAGGAGCAAAAGAAAGATTCACATGGATAAAATAAGACCAGGTGTTCCGGAAGAGTAAGCGTCTTCTACTTCATCGAGGAAACTCACCATGTAAAAGTTGGTCAAGTAAGTATTGTCACATTCTTAAATGAGAACAAGGTATTCATCAACGGAACCACAAACAAACTAATGAGTATAAGTTTCATATCA